GACGAAATCAACTTCAACTTCATTCTACTACTAAATTAAAATGATGCCCAGTAAGCAGCACGTTCGGGGAAGTGGTTTAGTCATTTGTGACTTTTTTGGAGTCGGTAAAGCCAGTTAAAGTCTCCCCAGCCTCAAAGTTTGTGCAACATGTTTGCGTGTCTTAACAGGTTGAAGTTTTCCCTGCATGAGTACTAGCAGTACAAATGGCAAGAATAGGTATTTCTACAACTAGTCGCATTGCCTTTGTCGGACCGGAATTAGTCTGGACATCTTCTGCTGCCTTAGACTTGGCCCATCTGCTTCTCATATGACTTGGACATATGCCCATGTGGACTCAATGCACTGCTGCTCTGCTGGAATCGTTCAGCACTTTCAATGATTTGTAAGGTCCACTTTGAAACTGGTCATGCGATTTGGGGAGCATTTCAGACCTCATTTAGGTTGACGGCATTGTTGTTACGTCTCGCGAAAAGCCCAAAAGTGTGTGCCAGATAATAATCGGACAACTTTGGTCCGACTTCAAGCACCACAATGGTAGTTAGTGGGTGGGCGCATTTCTCATTGTAAGCAAGAATGACTTCATCGGATTGTAGAAAACGCGATCTATGATAGTCGATACGCCTCAGGAATTCTGTTGATGGGCAAATGTCACACATTTGTGGCATCTTTAACGAAAGGGTTGAGCGGTAGTCCCAACCGCATTCACAAGGTTTACTTTAGGATCCTTGATGCCATTTTTCTAGATAGGAGTTGCCTCAAGCATCGATTGGATGATACCTTTTGGTTGGGGTACTACGGGAGAGGCCGCCACAAAAATGCTTAGAGTAATAAAACGGATTCTGTTTGCAGGTTTTTAAAGTACAAAGTGTCTACTCCTAGATGCAGAATTAAAACTACACTCAGAAGCAGTGGATATAAGAGTTGATGATCTCTTTAGATTTGTCCAAGAAGAACTCCTAAGCAAGAATACTTTTCGACCATATATGGTGCCTCACAACTGGTCTTTATGTTGGGAAATGCATTATTACTACGGCCACTAGGTGATGCTAACTATGATGCAATCTACAAGTTACGGCGCATACTTTCACGTAAGTGGACTCAGGACCGAGTTTCAACCATTCGAGAGGGACTTATGATCTGCAGAATGTGCGCCTTCAATTAGTAAGCATGGAACAATCGAAGATTTTTATCATTCATTTAAGTTTAAATCATAGAACTAAATTCCAAGCACGACAGCACAAGCCAAACCACCGGAGAAGATCTGCAGAGCGGCCAATAAGTTGACGCAAATCCCAACTGGAGCGGCATAGTCAAGAATTATTTTGCTCAGTTCAGTTTCATTTGCCTGAGGAGGTAAAAGCAGATGAATGCTGTTATGGTTTGCTGCTGTGAAGCAAACTGGTGTCAAAAATTTTTGGAAAGTTGTGACAAAGTGATATTTAAGATTGATGACGCTTATTGGACTGACACCTACTGCATACATGCTACTAACAAACAAGAGTAGATAACATTTCTTGAGGAAACGTCGAAGCGTCGGCTTGGAAGCTTGTGCCGCTACTTGGTATGCGCTAAACCTATGTTGGTTTTGACTAGAAAATATTTTGAAGCAATGTTTTGATGATCTAGACCAAGAGGTTCGCAATATTTATTTTTAGGACAATATAATTGATGAATACGATCCAACTTATTCCGCGGTCATTTTTTTACTTTAACAAAAAGACCACCTTACCGCGTTATCCAGTGCAGACAGCCATTTGTAAGCCTTTTTTAGATTTGTGCTTTTTGCACGACTGGAAATATCGTTAACTGATGCATTCTACCTGGAAGGTAGGCGAATGTGCAAACTTACCTCATTTGCCAAAAGAACTACGGTTAGGTAGAGTCCAATTTCAATTAGAGCCAAGATTGTTGTAACCAGAGAGAACTGGACGAAAATATTGGTACGTTTATTTACCACAAACTCAGAAAATTTCCAAATAATGTAGTCAGACCAAGGATTAACTATTCAGAAGAGCTCAGCTTGTTATTATTTACTACTTATAACATTTAGGTAGTAACTATTTATCAATAAGAAGACTCACAACTCCCAACATCCAGGGCTTTCTAAGCAGAGCCCCAATGCATCCAATAAGCGAAATGATAATTAGAGCAGCGCTGACTACCACAACTATGGCCACCATGGGAGCACTTTCTGCCTCGTATGCAGGCATGAACTTCAATTCATACGCCACGTAAATGCCAACCCCAAAGACATTGGCGCCGAGTACCTACGGGGAGAAAAGAGCTGCACTATCACAAGTACTGTGAGTGCCAATGCACGTACTCAAACCAGTTTGGGATGATCTAGGCAATAATAGGTGTCTCTGTTCTGAGGTTCACTGCATTGTCAAATGTACAGTGTCAGTAGATTATCTTAATGTGTGAAGTTCTTACCCTCATTCGTAGTGAATAAACATAAAAGGCTGGATTTAATCTTACACTACTTCTACAGCAATAAAACGCAAAGATAACTAACTTCCATTCCATCGTGGACATTAATCACTGACGCTTAATTCTGGTTTCGACAGCTGAAGGGAATGCGTTTACTTTGAATAAAAGAGTGCTTTGAGAGAGCTGCAGCTTACCAAGTATATCGCAGCCAAAGCGATGACCGAAATTTGTGTACATCTCATCTGTGATTCCGTCATAGCCCTGGCTCGGGGAATGAATTTATGTCAAATGGTGCGATTACTAGGCATTACATGGAAGCGGGCATGGTGGCCTCTCTAAACATGCGGGAATGTTTTCTTTTTTGCGGGAACCGTTAGTTTATAAAAATGAGGGTTTAATTGACCTATATTTTGGCAGTATTAACGAATTTACGCAGACACAATAACTTCGTATGCCAGTATTAAACTGCACTCCGAGGGACTCTCCAGGCCACGGCAGTAAAATGTGCTTCATGGATGAGTGGAAAGTCGCCGTTGCTCCAACTACCTGGCTACTCCTTGTTTATTCTCAAGCATTAATCTTTCGAGCACAACCTGGTACGTGTCTCCAAAGCGTGGAATGAGCATGCGTGAATCATTTGAGAGTGGCCAATGCGCTTGAGATTTAAGTTGTAATTCAGACCAAGAACCTCTCAACTTGATTAGTCAAGCAGCGAGTGTCGCTGAATCAGCAGCTGGAGAATGAGGATAGAGGGCAGACCTTTTCGACTGGTTTCAGCCCTGATAGATGCTTGGATTTGCGAAAGCCCTTCCAGTGGTTTTTCCCGTTTCCGTGGATAGGCAAATAGTGTTGAAATGTTTCAGATGTAATTTCTTCACCAATTCTAGAGGTAATTAGAGATATTCTCTTGTGATTTTCGCATTCTCTCTCAAGAATTTACTGCAGTTAATGCTTGGAGAGCTTCCATCTTTATAACTTTGTGTTAGCGAATTTGACATTTTATGAATTTCTGTCGACTGTCTACGCCATGACAAATATCTCTGTGATCCCATCAGCAGTGTTTTTCGCTACTCGTGCAATTTTTAGGCTCAGAGTAATTAGATGGGATTTCACTTAATTCTCTGATCCAAAACCTGTAAAAACCTTTTGTTTCATTCAGACACATTTGTGAGGCCTGGAAGGCACTGAGCAGGTCTGCGCTAACGGCAACGTTACATTTGCGATGAGGCTAGCTGCAACACTCCAAGGTTCCCGTTTATTAAGTCACGAGTGGACACATTTGTCACCTTTAGCCGTGTAGAATTTACACAGAAGCATTTGCAAACGCTGAAGTCCCTTTAAAGCACCGGCACCGACAAAAACAAATCGGGGCGAGTTCCATAGTGTGAGGGACAGCAACAATATCTCAGCCTAGAGGCTCTTAAGTACATATATTGCAGTAGGGGTTAGGAGACCTTATTGTCTTGGCAAAATGACTCATCTTAATGACCTAATTGGCCTTTTCACGAGTTCTTACTTGGTGGAAAGGTTTGCTACCAATGGCGCCGGTACTGGGCAGAAAGAACACGAGGTCTAAGAGATAACACTTTAATGACGTAAACGGTAAACGTAAACGGTAAAACCTTATGCCAAAAAAGTGACTACTACAATTAAGACTGGCAGCGATGAATGTGCGGTGGTCGCTGATGTGTTTAAAGCATTGAGATAAATTACCTTTGAGCGGCTTCGTGTCCGATCGTCTTAGACCTCCTTGCGACATAACCACTATCCTTAAAGTTTAAATGGAACGGGTTCTCCACAATTCCGAACTACTTTACGCGGACTAGATATTTAATTATTAAATTTGCGATCCATTGGACGCACGCTGAAAGCAATTTAGTAGTGTTTTATTTTTGCCTCCAATAACAAGTGCTTTCAGGTTTTGTAAGCTGTGAAAAAGGTGCTGTGGTACACAAGTACAAGGCTGTAGCATGGCATCCGGACACTCATAAAGCTAAGTCCCGGTTGTACATGAAACATCTGGTGCTGTGCCATTTGGTGTCGGACGCAACTTTGTTCCACTTTTTTGGACACTTAGACGACTTCCGCATGTGTGACTGGCTGAGACGCCTAAGGCTCGTGTAGATAAACGGAAGTCAGTGTGTAAACACAATCGCTTTGTGTGTGTATGTGCGTGTGCGCACATACTGTGCATAGGGAGCAAAAGGGGTCCGATTTCGCAAAAATTTCACTGTTATCTCACGGTGATTAATAGCCAGCAGCTCCATCTGCTCCGATGATCATCTTAAAGCCGATGATTAATTCAAAGAGAGTGTGGAATTGCAGATTGTGAAACAGTGAGGGGTAAAAACAAAGGAAGAACGAAATCAACAGCAAGAGGCGGGGATTAGCATGAATTCTACTTGGCACTATGC